ATATATCTCAAAGATCTTATCACATAACTTCTCTTTTATATTCATATAATTTCTTATCATATCATATAATTTATATCATCATAACATAGCATATATTCACATCAACCATGAAATACATATACAATAAATGTCAACTCATATCATAACATATAACTCAAACACTCATAACAAACACATGTTCATGTTCATACTTCATGCACAATACTATAGAGAATAGACTTGTCGCAAGTCTTATTTCCCATTAAATATCATATATAAAATAATGCGCACTCACCTGGCCTTACTAGTCAATATCGCTTTTATGATTTCCTTTCAATCGAATCTTAACTTGATAATCATTCGGGAACTTGTTCATGTTCGATATCTACAAAATCATACATTGATAGATATCAATATCCCTTTGATATACTCTAATCTATCATTTCTTAGACCAAAAGAAATGTTTATTTCAATTTCCCCTTGAAGTGCATCGATACATTCTACAGTGCATCGATGCATTCTTTAACATGTGCATCGATGCACTACCCATGCATCGATACACAAATCACCTTCGATGTTTTCATTTTAAGGGGGTGCATTGATGCACTCCTTATGCATCGATGCACTAATTGCATTCGATGTTTCCATTTTTAATGGGTAAACAATTTCTGGAAATACCCTTGATGCATCGGTACACATTGAATGTGCATCGATGCACATAGCCCAAATTCATTTTTATGCCCGAAAATCCACTCTTTTCAGCTTAATAACTTCATATATCATCCCCTTTATTATTCTTAACTTACATACTCATATTCAAACTCATTTCTATTCATTAATCACCTCTTTAACATCAAAATCCTATTCTCCATATATAATTCAAGAATTACACTAAATTTTCAACATATTCCAAATTCAATTCTATTGCTTCTAACTTCTTAATTAGACCATTGACAAGTCAAATTCATCCTTAGAACTTCAAAAAACTTTTTATCATAAAAGTTCATTTATAAACTCTTAATAGAAATTCCTTTCTAATTCTCTCTTCTTGGTGTTTTAAACTTATATAAGCTTTCCTTAAGCTTATATAACCCCTAAAGACTCAAATCCAACTTAAAAAATTCAAGAAATCAACAGCTAAATCAAACTTACCTTTTCTCTTGGCTTCCACGTGAAGAAGAAAAAGAAAGGAGAAGAAGAGAAATCTGGAGAAATATCTCCCTTTCCACGTGGTTCCCTTTTCTTATAAAAGAAGAATAAAAATCTTACTTGTCAATTAACCATTTTACCCTTTAATTCATTCCATAATTACTAAATAACCTTCATCATATATTTGCAATAAATCATTGAACTATTCAATTATCCTACTTTAATCACCAATTTCTGAAATTTTTCAATCTAGTAACTAACCTGATATTGAGGATGTTACATTATCTCTCAATAATTAGTGTGGTGAAAGAGACATGCTTTAGGTTGGTTAATGTTTGGTTTGATAAATGGAAAAAGATTGAGTGTCTCATAAATAGAAGTAGGGAAGGGCATGGGTCGAGTTGGGTCAGGTTTCCGGCCAACCCTACCTGACCCTAAAATTTTATACCTCCACCTAAAACCTAACCCAACCTTATTTTAGAGTAATTCCACCTGACCCAAAACTCGACCCGACTCTAACCCGACTCGACCCAAAATAATATAAAATTATTAATTTTATTTAATAAGTAGGAACTTAATTGAAAAAATAATATAAAGAGGTGTATTCTTGCAATTACCCCTAAATATATAAGGTATTTTTATATATTTTTAGGTCAGGTCAAAAATTTTCACCCTAACTCCAAACCCAACTCGACCCGAACCAAATTTTTCTAAAAAATTCTAACCCGATCAAATCGGGTCAGGTCGGAACCCATCAAGTTCAGGTCCAGTGTCTATCCCTAAATAAAGGTAAAATTTGGGCTCATACAGTAGTGGAAGTAATTGAAGAAAACGAGCGATTGACAACCTCAATGTTTGTTTATAACTTCAACTGAATTGAGCATACTTTTGTTGTGACATGTGTACATTGCAACGAATGAGGAGAGAGTAAAAAATTAGAGTCTATTTACAGCAAAGATGATATGCTTGTGGCCATTTTAAGGCATGAAGATATTTGTCTGCTCTTGCAGTCGCTACATGTATGCATGTTGGTATAAGCGTGTACACTTATGTTGATGAGTGTTTTCTCCTATAAAGGATATTAAATGTCTACAACTATGATTTCAGACAAATCTCAAATGAATCATATTAGGTAAAAAATGATCACGATGAATGCCTACCGAATCCAATGCTTCGTAGAATTCTAAAGGGTCAATCTGAGTCCACTCGTATTCATATCAGTATGAATTTTCATACTAGAGAGAAAGGTCAACCGAAGATATGCGAATTACATAGGGGTGAAGGTCATTCAAAAAATATTAGAATTTACCAAGATATAAGCCTTAGTAATCATATTTGTATTTGTATTTGTATTTGAATGACTATTTGATTTTTTTTATTTCTATTTGAATGAATGTTTGGTTTTTCCTATTATTTTTTTTGAATGAATGTAATGGATTTCCATGTTTGATTTGAAATGAATTAAACAGAATTTGTATATATGAATTAAACAAAATTAAACCATAATTTGAATAAATAACATTTTATTTAATATTAATTTTTCATACAAAAAAAAATTGATCGTTTACAATTCTTGTTGATATTGTGGAATGATAATGTTGAGGTGCACATCGATTGCATTATGGCCAATGTGGTTACTCAAGAGTCTGACAGTCAACCTCCTCATTCACTGAGGGAATATGATATAGTGTTATAAATATGCTCACCACTCTGTTCTCCCATCTCCTGTGGGAACATAGAATGACAAATAGTTATATTTGATATCATAGATGTCATTTTATCAAAAACCATACGTTGATCTAATCATGGGATAGTAGAAGGGTGACCGAGGATGAATAATGTTAGGTATATATGTCACAACAACACAATCATCAAACGCTTGATGAAATGATCATGCATCGCCTAAAGGTTGTAATGAGCTATTATCCACAAGTGTTATTTCCACTTAATGGCGAGATTAACTCTTACTCTCACTTAGTATAGATTTTTCAGTTTTACCTTCTTTTTTCTTGTATTATATAAATTGTTGTTTTTCTCTCATCGTTGTTAAGCACGACTTTCCTTTATCCCAATAATAGATAAGGTAAGTCGAAGTCTGAAAATTAAGGTCGTCATCTGAATGAGTGTAAGAGTTGGCAAGTATGAAGCCCTATTGTTCCAAACATTAATGTAGTTCACATGCTTCTCAACCTAATTTTCGTTGTGCTTACCCCGCCCATTTAATTTGTGGAGATCATCATTATTGTATAGAATTTGTAGAATAGGCTGGTAGAAGTTGAACTGTCTCAACACTTTATCCAATAATTGAAGCTCTAGCAAAATGAATCAACGGTGTAACTACACACCAACATTGACAATCATCTCAAACATCTTATGACATACATGTAATAATTTCTTCATCTACGTACAACCTTCAAATAAATTGTATAATTAAAAATTATATAAATAAATTATATATATATAATAAAATTCAATTCAACTCAACTAAATCTAAATAATATAAGAAGTTACTTTAAAATTCAATTCATAAAATTATATATACCTTATTTTTGCTTTTAATGTCGATTTTCAACCTAAACTCTTTAATATTATTATGCACCAACCACATTCTTCTTATTTTATGCCTCTATATGTATATCAATCAAAAAAATATTTGTTACTTATATTTAGTTAAAATAAACAAATAAATTCTAATTAAGAATTTAAATCAAAATAGAAATATCACCTTCCAGTAAAAGGGAAGTTAACCATAATTCGACTGATTGTTGTTAAAATTGAAAGTTTGTATCAAATTCATGATTCTATTAACATCAGATATCCACCAATTTCTACTTTATTAATATTATTTATGATTAATGATGCATTGCACATTTCACGGTGCAAGAATGCCAATATCACTTATCATTCGCTATATTAATGAGTATTCTCAAAAGTATCCAAAAACGGGAGATTTGTATGTGAACTTGATTATCAGATTTATCCGACATTAAAACTCTCCTAATCAACTGTAATATATATGCTCGAGATACATATAAATTTTTTTTGCTTGGTACTATTTCAATCGAGCTTAAATTCATTCTCCAACCATGATAGCCTCATACACCACCCTTTTAAATATGGTTTTACTGGCATCTTCCCAATGTACGCATTGTAAATCTGATCCACCTTATAATCATTTTTCTACTCCACTAACATCTCATTTGTTGGGACTCTGAGTTGCATGGTCACATCCTTCAGAGTTATTGTGCATTCTCCACACGAAAAATGAATTGTATGTGTTTCTGGTCTTCATCGTTCAATCAACGCACTAATCAAATCGATGACCAAATTATACTCTCGAACAAATGTTACATTGTAAAATCTAGCCTCTTGCAAATTACCTACAATAAAAGGGTGTGTCTTATCACAAATATTGAGTCGGTGATGGTAGACTTGTTGCTCATCTTCCTACAATTAATTAATTAATGATTTTAATCAATTAATCATAAAATAAAATTCTATTTAATAATACTAATTTTTCTAATAAAATAGATTATTCTATTAAATAGTAACCCCACTATTCTCGAATAAGTAGAAATATGTTGATCGTTTAATCTAAACAGTTAATTTTGTTTTTCCATTTGAACGAATCTATAAAAAAATTTAAACAAAAATATGTTGATCGTTTAGTCTCAATAGTTGATTTTGTTCTTCTATGAATCTATAGGAAAAAATAATTTTTTAAACGACAATAATTTAATCTAAACATCAATTTAAACAAAAATAATTTAGTTTAAAATAAAATTAACTCTCTAATTTTATTAATTTGAGCAATTTCTCCCTACTCTAAATAACGACAAAAAGTTACTATCTTTGAATCTTCTTCTTTAAACCTAATCTAATTTATTATTAAGTTAAACTAAAGGAAATTTATTTTTAACAATGAAAAACCTCTCTGAATCTCTATCTGAGAACAACTCTGGTAACCCTTCTGACCTAAGGTTACCCAAAAAACAGTGCCGTCAGGAGGAGGTTCCTCCCGATCCCCCTCCTGACACCTCTCATTCGACCCCAAAAACACCAATCTCATACAAAGATATGGTCACAGGTGGAAACATCACCCATTCGATAGACCCTCTCGCTGATATTGATGATGATGATATTGAATATAATGAAGATGATGTATGCTTCGGTTCCTCGAATGGAATCCCCACAATCGATTTTTCTGAAAAAGTTCAATCCTTGGCCATCAAAAGCATGGACCTTACCTTGATTATTAAAATTCTTGGTCGTCGAGTCAGCTACAACACTTTGCAAAACATGATATATGGCATATAAAAGCCATCTCACCCGATCAAGCTGATGGATATTGAATTATATTATTATATAGTTAAGTTAAGCGTTCAAGGAAATTACCTGAAAGTCTTAATTGAAGGGTCATGAACCATCTTTGGCCTTTGCATTACTGTCAAACGGTGGTAATCGACTTCCAACCTTCTCAAGACTCCCCCAGTTGCATAATGGCATGGATTTGCCTTCCGAGACTACCCATTACTTTATACAAATGAAGTCTTATGGATATTGAATTATATTATTATATAGTTAAGTTAAGCGTTCAAGGAAATTACCTGAAAGTCTTAATTGAAGGGTCATGAACCATCTTTGGCCTTTGCATTACTGTCAAACGGTGGTAATCGACTTCCAACCTTCTCAAGACTCCCCCAGTTGCATAATGGCATGGATTTGCCTTCCGAGACTACCCATTACTTTATACAAATGAAGTCTTATTGAAGCCATCAGAAGTCAAATTGGCTCTGTCATCAAAGTAGACTATCAAACGAACAAGGGATTTCTTGGTCGCTTCATTCGCATGGTCGTTACCATTAATCTCTGGAAGCCTCTCATCTCTAAGCTCGTGATTAATGGTCATACTTAAATCATCAAATACGAGTTGTTACCGACAATTTGTTATCACTCTAGAATCTATGATCACTTAAAAGACTTATGCCCTAAACTTTCCACTCCCGCACATTCGGATTCCATGCAAGAAGCCAACATCCCTCCACCGGCTCTGGCGCCTGAAAACCCAACTCCGATAGACCAGTTCGGTCCTTGGATGGTAGTAAAAAAAAGGAAATGAAATTCTAAGGCAACCAAGGCCACGAATCAAGGCACTGTTTTTGCTGCTCCCGCTATGCCTAGGGAAACAAATTCAATTGTCAATCCTTCTACTTCCGCTGTGCCTAAGGAAACTATTTCTATTGTTAATCTCGTTTTTGAAGATGCTTCAACTCTCCAAGATTCTCGGCAGTTAGCACGTCATCCTATTACCCTCATTCCAGCGTCAAAGTTGAATACCAATCAAGCTCCATAATCTTTGAAGATCCATTCCAAAAACCAAGCGGCCAAATCTAGAGGGAAACATGGTGTCATCCTCAAGAAATGAAAACACACTTGGCTCAAAAAACCTGGTAATTTATTTCCAAAACAGTATGTAATCTGCATGCAACTAACGTGAACTCCATGCAGGTTGATCGTGACCAACCAATGCTGATCGATGGATATTCTCATCCCAAAGACAGACATCGGACAACCACCATCCGATTCCAGGAGTCATTTTAATCGAAAATCTATTCAATCATGGAACCGAAGCCATGACCAAATAGCTCTGATTGTATTTCTCACTCATTTATCTATAACTTTAATGAATCTCAATTTATTTATTTGGAATGTCCAAGGTTGTGGCCACCGCAACTTCAATAGGGTAGCTCGTTAATATATCCGTGACAATAAGCCTGACCTGATTTGTCTGGTTGAAACTCGCATTAGCAAGTATTCAGCTGATAGTGCCATTGTTGCTCTCTATATTCCAAATGTTTTTCCAGTGGTATTTGGATTTGTTGGTTTGACTACCTCCATATCGATATTCTTTTTAGCCACTTCCAATTTATTCACTATAGGATCCACTCTAAATCTAATAATCGCTCTTTCCTAGCAACGTTTATTTTACGCTAGCCCCCTTTTGGATTATCTTAAAAGTCTTTCTAGACATATCACTGAACATTGGATAGCCCTAGGTGATTTTAACGCCATGATTTGTCCTGAATACCGCAAGGGTTGTTCTATCTCTTCCAAACCTAACAAAAACTTCATTGACACCCTCTTCAACACAAGCCTCCATGATCTATCAAGGTCCTGACTTCACTTAGAACAAGGGTAACTGTACAGTTCGCCTTAATTGTTGCCTCTGCAATAACTTTCCTGACACCATGGTCATCCATTTACTCCGAATGAAATCCGACCATAGACTATTTCCCCTTTCTATGGGTCCCCCTCCCAATCGTAGAAAATGCCCCTTTCGATAATTTTTTGGTTGGCTTCACCATGAAGACTTTCAACATCTCATCTCTGATAGTTGGAGCAATACCCTTCCTTTCCCGAATGCTATCAAAAACTTCTTGGAAGTTTCCAAAGCATGGAATTACGAAGTCTTCGATTCCATTGCCCGACACAAACGATCTCTCATAGCTAGACTCCGTGGCATTCAGAGAAGCCTCGATCGTAATCGTAACCCCTGTCTCTCTCACCTTGAATCCAGACTTCAGCTTGACCTCGAGCAAACCCTTGACCAAGAAGAGCTCATTTGGTAACAAAAATCCAGATCGGATTAGAGCCCTTTTGGCAACGTGAACACTTCCTATTTTCATAAAAAAGACATTATCAACAAACGAGCGAATCGTATTTCTGCTATTCAACTTAGCTCCGTTCATTTCTGTTCCAACATGGACTTAATCCACCAAGAAGATATTAATTTCTTTAGGGATCTGTATTCCTCTGATGGTCAAGTTGATGGCAAATTCCCTCTTCATGGTTATTTTCCTTCCTTTCTCCTGATGAGATGCGACCCTTAGATCTCATTCCCGAATCTTCGGAAATCAAAGACACGTTGTTTGCTATGTCCCCCGTTAAATCTTCCGGTGCAAATGGTTTACACAGCCAATTTTTCCAAAAACACTAGGAGATTGTGGGACCCTTTATTTGTAGAATGATCCAAGACATTTTCTCTGGAACTATCATTAACCCATCTTTCAAGAAAACCATTCTTGCCCTCATTCCCAAGACCGTTAGTCCCTCGAATTTTAAAGAAATTCGGTTAATCTGCCTCTGCACGATCCTCTACAAACTCATTACAAAAATCCTCGTTTGCAGACTCAAGCCTATCACTCCTTACCTCATAGCCCCCAATCAGACTAGTTTCATCTCTGGTAGAAGTATCATGGAAAATGTGATTATTAACCAAGAAGTCATACACACCATGAACTCAAAAAAAGGGATCACTGGCTGGATGGCAATAAATGTTGACATTGAGAAAGCCTTTGATCGCCTCTGCTGGGGCTTTATCTTGGACACTCTTCAAGAATTTGGGTTTTCCCCTCCCTCATTCATCGGATTTTGCATTGCATTTTCACTTCTACCATGCATATTCAAATCAATGGAACCCTCACTAGCTCATTTGCTCCTAACAGTGGAATTCATCAGGGAGACCCCTTTCTCCCTACCTTTTTTATCGCCTCTGCTGGGGCTTTATCTTGGACACTCTTCAAGAAGTTGGGTTTTCCCCCTCCCTCATTCGTTTGATTTCGCATTGCATTTCCACTTCCACCATGCATATTCAAATCAATGGAACCCTCACTAGCTCATTTTCTCCTAACCGTGGAATTCATCAGGGAGACCCCTTTCTCCCTACCTTTTTGTTCTGGCCATGGAGAGGCTAGTTCATATTATAAATAAAGCGATTATCGAAGGTTCCTAAACTCCCTTTAATTTGGTTTGAGGCGGCATCCTGATCTCTCATCTCTTTTTTACTGATGACCTTATCATTTTTGTTAAAGTTTCTACTAACCAAGCTCATCTTATCAATCAGATTCTTGATGTTGTCCTTTATTTTGGCCACAAGGTGAACACAACCAAATCCCATATCTAATTCTCCAATAATACGAATCCTAGTCAAGCTAATACCATCAGCTCTTATCTTGGGATCAGACAAGTCCCCGACCTAGGAACTAACCTCGACATTTGTATCATGCACAAGTGTGCCACTTATGAGTTCTATAATTTCATTCTTGACAAAATCTGCAAGAAACTTGAAGGTTGGTCAACTCACATCCATTCCCTTGCTGGTTGCATTACCCTTGCAAACTTTGTTCTTTCTGTCATCCCGACCTATTTTATGCAGTCGTGTCGCTTACCATCTCATGTTTGTGACGAAATCGAGAAACTCATTCGTAATTTTGTTTGGAACTATAATGATTGTAATCATGGTATCTCCCTTGTCCGTTGAGATCTCCTCACTCAACCTCGAACCCATAGTAAATTTGGAATATATAAACCCTAAACTCAAAATACTATCTTCCTCTTGAAGATTTGTTATGCTCTTGTGGATAATCCTGATAGCTACTAGATTTCCCTTCCTAGATAAAAATACAAGGTCCTCGACCATTGCCCCTCTTCCATCGCCAATCCAAATTGATACCACCTTTGGCGAGCCCTTGCCAACATTTGGCCTTGATTCCATGAGTTTATTTCTTGGTCGGTTGGTGATAGTTGTCTCATTCGTTTTTGGTCGGACTATTAGATCCCTCACCTTGGTCTCCTCTTTAACTGGCAAAACCCCAACGCCATTGTTAATAAGGATCTCTTGGTTTGTGATGTTACCCTTCTAAATTGTTCCTGAAACTGAAATCTTTTATCCCATCTTCTTCTCCCTGAAACTATTGATCACATCCTGAATATTCATCATCTGGACCTCTCCATTGGTCATGATTGTTGTTACTAGAGATTGGGCAAAAAAGGTCGCTTCTCAATCAATTAGACCTATCACCACTTGGCTTCTGGTGAATGGGACACCCAGGATAACAAATGGGATCTCATCTGGCAAGCCCCAGTTCCTGAATGCACCAGGTACTTCCTTTGGCTCTTCTTAAGGGATAAAATTCTCACCAACCTTAGCCTTTGGCATCGCCATCTTACTGATGATCCCATTTGTCATGTTTGTGGCTCTGAAGATGAAACAACCTTGCATATTCTCCGATGATGTGACATAACTAAAAATCTTTAGCTATCTATCCCCCAGACCCACTAGATTCCTGATTTTTTTTCCCCTTCAAGACTGACTCATTCAAAATCTTCGCCCACTAACATTTTCTATGGCACTAACATTAATTGGAATATTATGTTCTATTTTCTCCTTTTGCAGGTTTGGAAACGACGAAACTCAACGATTTTCTCGACCAATGCTCTCTCCAACAACACTCTCCTCCATCATAGCATACTTTGGGCTTCCCATTACTGTCCATCACCTCTTTACTCTTCGGGTCACCAGGTGCTAATGCAACCGAAAGAAATTTAATGGAAACCCATCCCCATTGGTTAGATATTGTTAAATACAGATGGCGCTTTCAACCCTGATATGAGTCATGGTGTCGCTGGTGGCCTCCTCTGCAATTCCGATGGTGATTGGCTTATTGGTTTCCACAAGTTCATTGTTATACCTTAACCTCTCCATGCAGAACTCTGGGGTATTTTGGTCGGTCTCCACACTACTTGGAATCTTAGGTTTGAGTGCCTTCAATACCAAACCAACTGTGCTGAAGCTCATAAGCTCATCTCTTCCTATGACGCCAATTCAAGTTTGATTTTTATGGTGTGAGCGATTGCTTCCATGGCCTTCAGGGGCTGGATGGTCGAGTTTATCCTTATTCATCCTGAAGCTAACTTTGCTGTCGACTGGGAAAAATAATGTGAATAAAAAATGATTCAGATTTAAAAAATATTTTGGAGTCGTCATCGATCTTTTTGGATTAGATAAGTCAAATACCTAAAAATTATCTTTTAAAAGATTTTTTTAACAAAACATCAGTTAAAAGATAAATTGATCTGCATTTAACCAAAAATTCATTATTTTTTAGAAATAAAAAGGTATTCATGGTCGGTTACGTTTGGGGAATGATTAGCACCCACAACGTCCAAAATTAGTACTCATTAATTATAAATTGTCTTTATTATTGAAAATTTAAGAATTCAAAAATATATTTAATTCATAATTCTGTTTATAATTTTAAGAAAATATATTAATATATATATTTTTATTTTTATAAATAAGATATTTATTTACTTAGAAATATCATAAAAGGACTTCTAGGTGCTTTAATACAACCCATTTCTTAATATTAAAAAATAAATAAATATTAATAAAATATTTTTATAAAAATAATTAAAATAAAATAAAATATATAATTTATAAAAATAGGATATTTATTTATTTAAGAATATCAGAAAATGACTTCTAGGTGCTCTAAGACATCCCATTTCTTAATATTAAAAATAAATATTAAAATATGATTATTTTTTTAAAATTAATTTATATAAAAATAAATTTATAAATAGGATTTTTATTTAAAAAAATAAGTAAACAAATATTATTTATTTTATATGTTTATATGACTACATAATAATAATAATAATAATAATTAAATATTTTAAACATATAAAATTAAATATAACTAAACAGTGACTAAAATAAATAAAATTAAAACTATAGTATTAAAATATAAAACATATAAATTAATAGACAAAATGAAAATTATTAAAAAAAAATCAGTGACAAAAATATAAAATATAAAACCTAAAGATTCTAATTTGAATTGTTAAAAAGATATGTACTAACAGTATAATTTAGCCTTAATATTAATTATTCAGGTTAAAATAAAATTTATTAAAATTACCAGGGACTAAATAAAGTATTTACCCTTATATATATATATAGTTAATGGCTAGAATATAATAAAATAAAAAATGGCGTCGTTTGGGAGAGGGTATATAAACCCATTTAACCGGCCCCTTTGGGCCATTTTCTTAATTTCTTCTTTTGGTTCTCTCTCTAAGAGAGAGAATCCTCTCTAAATTTCTCCAACCGGAGAAAGGTCGGCCGTCTTGCTCCGACACCGGCAGCCACCACCGGCCACCACCCACTGTGGCCGGAAATTTCAAAGTTACCCCAAAATAACACTCTTTTCAACACGAACCCAAATCCAATATTGTTTTCACAAAAAAACACCTCTTAATATCGTAGATCTACAATTTTTACCTTCGAACCAACGGTGGTTTGACGTCAATTTGGCTTCCGACGACGCTGGTAAGTCTCTTCACTATTCTCTCGGTTGTTTTTTGTTGTTTTCTGTCGTTGGTGTTACCGTGGTTGTGATTGCTGCTCGTTTTTTATTTGTTGTTATCTTCTGTCGCCGTTTGTTGTATTTTGGTTCTCGTTTTTGTGCTGTTCTTGCCCTCTGTTTTTCTTTGCAGGTGCAATGAGGCTTTTATAGCCTTATAGAGACACTCATCGGACTGGTCCCAAGGGTGAATTCAGGTGAGTCACCGAACTTCTAGTGGTGACTCACCGTTGGGGCAACGTGTGCGGCTGGGGCTGGGTTTTCTGGAGCCTTCGATTGGTGTCGTGGCAGCGGCGGCAGTGTGACAGCAGCTGAAGCGTCAACATAGAGGTGGTGGCTGAACAGAGCCCTAGGGTTATGATACCCTAGGGTTTTGTCTGGGTGTATCTGGACCGTTGGATCATAACTAGATCCAACGGCTGTGAACTGAGGCTGTTGGGAGATGAGGATGAAACCCTAGATGCATTGGGCCTTCTCGGGTTTGGGCCTGGATCGGGTCCTTTGTAAATGGGCGGTGGGTTTGTATTTTTTATTTAATAATAATAATAATAATAATAATAATAATAATGTATATAATAATAATAATAATAATAATAAAAACAAACTGAAAAATTAGTGTCTACAGTTGCCCCTCTTTGTTCATTCTTGTGTTAACAAGAATAGAGAAAAGACGAAAAAGACAATAATTTTTCATTTGGCTTCTTTTGAGTAGGATGAAAATGTTGAAAACATTTTGCCCAGAGGTCTTATGAATGGCCATGAGGTATTATTATCTTGCACTGTAGGTCTTACAGATGACCCGGAGGCTTTGAAAATATCAAAAAGCTCCCGAAGGCTTTTTTTTTTTGAAAACATCATGCGCTGTAGGTCTTATGGATGGCTCTGAGGTCTTATCATCTTGCACTGTAGGTCTTACAGATGACCCAGAGGTTTTAAAAATATCAAAAAGCTCCCAAAGGGTTTTTTTTGAAAACATCATGCGTTGTAGGTCTTATGGATGGCCCTGAGGTCTTATCATCTTGCACTGTAGGTCTTATAGATGACCCGGAGGCTTTAAAAATATCAAAAAGATCCCGAAGGCTTTTTGAAAACATCCTGAACTGTAGGTCTTATGGATGACCCTGAGGTCTTATCATCTTGCACTGTAGGTCTTACAGATGACCCGGAGGCTTTAAAAATCAAAAAGCTCCCGAAGGCTTTTTGTAAACATCCTACACTGTAGGTCTTATGGATGTGGGAAATAGTTTACTAACTAAGAAACTATGAAAATCGTTTTCTTACTATTCAACAATTTCATTTTCAGAAAAGATTAAATGAGAAATTTTGGAAATCGTTTTCTTATTGAAATAACTTGTTGATTGGGTAACATGCCCCATTTTAAAATAATGTTTCATTTGTGGATTGCGTCCATCTATTCTTCAGATGTTTGTGTGATTCTTGCATTTGAGGTTTTGAATTCTACCTGCTTCTTGTAAGGTATTGTTCATCATGAATCTTCTTTTTTATATGAAGATCTGCAAAACCTTATGTTTGAATGCAATTAAATGTAGCAATGTAATGCATTTTCTGTTATGCAAATGATGTTCTTATGAATGCATGAATGTTGATGCAATCTTCATTTGACTTCAAAGTGGCGAACTCGGTCTTCCTTCACTTGATCATTTATTTCCAGGGTTACCTCTGGATATCAGTGTAGCAACCTATGCCATAAAGCTGAAGAACCATTTGATCAACTTGTATCTTTGTGTTTTCTTTGCTTCATTTAAGTCTCAGAAGAAATGTTTCATTTATGGAACTCTTGCCGTAGTCAGAACTATGACCTTGATGCCCCATTTTGTCTTTGATAACATCAGCTTTCTTAGTCTGGACTTGTGTAGAAATCCAATAAAGCTTTCATCTTTGAAAAGAGAATCTATCATCTTTGAAGAGAGAATCTACCATTTTTGAAGAATGTAGATATACTAAACTCAGCAGAGATTAATTAAGAGAGTAGAGTCTGTTCTGATTTGACTCTTGAAACATATCACAAGGAGGATTTTATCTTAATTGCTTTAGTGTCTCCAAATCTAATCAAATCTCGAACAAGGCAACTTGGACCATATCATGTCGAGATGTTTAACAATAACCTGTCGTTCACATTAGTTGGCTCCACTAGTTTCTTGTTGTTAAAATTTTCAAATTCCCTTCTGTGGAAAGAAATCTTCATCACATCTCACTTCTAACATTGGGGTTGAAGAAGACAAACTTCATCTTGGATCAAGAAATGGAAACCATATGATCACAACATTGGTTCAACATCAGAATAACTGGTTCGTAAAATATTTTGACAACACATTCATCCTTTTATGTGGTTTCTGCTCAAATGTCCGTAAAGCATTTTGACAACATATTCATCATTTCCTATGGTTTCTACCCATATGTTCGTAAAGCATTTGACAACACATTCATCATTTCTTGTGGTTTCTGCTCAGATGTTAGTAAAACATTTGACAACACATTCTTCCTTTTATGTGGCTTCTGCCTATATTTCTCATCAGTGAAGCTCTTTCATATGTTCAAAGCTTTTGTATGATGTTACAAGACCATTTTAGAACAAAACTCAGTGGGAATACAAGTGAGATGCTGGTATGACCAAAAAGTTTGTCAAATTCACAAAATATGCTAGTGTCTAATTGAATAAAAGATACCAACTGATTTTGATATCATTTTTGACAAGGACAAGTGTGATATCGATCACGTTTTCTTCCATAATGAGTGTTGTAGGAAGTAGAAACACATCCATTATAGGAGCCATGTACAGAATGAGGTTCATGGAATTCTTATTGCTGTAGATGAAACGCATATGATAAACCCAAATAAATGAAACCTCAGTTCAGTCTGACTGGCGATGATAACCCCAGTAACAACGGGAATAAGAATAACATAAGCTGAGCCTCTTTATTCAATGTCATCAAGTAAGCAAAAACTGTCGTGAAAAACATCTTCATAGCCCCAACAGTATGATTGAAATTAACTGCCAGGAACCTTAAAGAAATATTTATAATCATCACCGACACACAAAAGACCAAATTCAAAGTCGAGATCTTGAGGAACTGAACCCTGGATCGAATGATTTGCATGGAGACCATCTTTATTTATGCAAACTGTGATGTAGCTTAACAAAGAACACGCTGTCATATGATACATGTTAAGAAGATTGAGTATTTGAAACCATTCTTGCTGAATAAATATTTGTTCAACAACATGACCCTAATGCAACTGCTTGATGAACGAAGCAATTATGTATAGTCAGTTCCACTGTCACTGTTTAACTATTTTCATTCTTCATTCCTTTTTGTCTTATTGGAAATATTTGCTCAAAGTAATGATCTTTAACATATAATGATGTGGGCCTTCAGCATGCCCCATCATTTACTGATATGAATGTTCAAAATGTTATTCCAATTTCTGATTGAAATGAGCTTTCAGCATGCCCCAACATTTGTTAATACAGACGTTCAAAATGTGCCAATATTTCAATTTCTGATTGAAATGGGACTTTCATCATGCCCCAACATTGGCTAATACAAACGTTCAAAAAGTGTCAGTATTCCTGATTATGATTGGAATGGGCTTTCAGCGTGCTCTATCATTTGTTTCTTGTTAATCCGAGCCTTCAAAATGTCCCACATGGGTCTGTCTGAAGTGACCTTTAAAGTGCCCCAACATTTATTGATATAGATTCAAAAGTGTGCTCAACATTACTTCTTGCTGAGATGAGCCTCCAAGAATGCCCAAATATTCATATTATTATGAGCCTTCAAAATGCCCTGCCATTCTATTTCTGGTTGAAATGGGCTTTCAAGATATCCCTCATGGATCTGTCTGAATTGGGCCTTCAAAATGCCCCCAACCTTCTAAACTGTAAGGTTTACTTTCAATGTTTGTTTGATTTCAATATCATGATCCACACGAGGTCCAATTTTGACAATGTACTGTTGTGGGTACTTGCGGCTTTATCCGTGCCTCAAATATGTTTATCTTGAATACTCTCATTCTGATGTCACTAAACAACTGTTGTTAAGTAACTTGAGGAATTCTCTTCATGTTGTCACGAACTTAAGAATTAATCAATCATTCTGACTGAAATGTATGAGATATGTGCCTCTTCTGAATGAGGTGATCATCTTTTTGGATCTGGAGGGATCTAGTCGGACAGAGTGGTATAAATAGCTTGATAATTTATTCCAGGCTGACATAGTGAACCTTGTTTTTAGTGAAGGCTATTTCTGGAATATACTTTCCATGCAACATCTTGATTTTGATAACTACTCATCTGATTATGAAGAAATCTTTCAGGATGATTTCACAGATATTGATAGTTCTTCTGATACCGAGAAAATCCTGAATTCTGATTCTGATGAGGAGAATAAACTGTTATACTTGACGAAAATAGGATACTCAGAGGCTGAGGCTTCAATAGCCATGGAGAGATGTAGTCCAGTTTCATCAATTGTAGAGTTAACAGATTTTATATGTGCTGCTCAAATGGCTAAGGCTGCTGACACACTTCTTCTGGTAGAAGATAGGAAGCCATTATGTAATGACCCAAATTACAAGAAAAAGCGAAACTCGGGCTATGATTTTTGAAAAAGAAGAAGCAGAGGAAGCTTGAAAAGAAGCTTCCTAATGAAGACGATCATGCAGTTAATTTTCTAAATCCAATGATTGGTTTTGGGGTTCTTACCGAACCAGATCAGATAACTCAAAGAATACTTCCAGAAGATGCTATTGGGCCTCTTTATTTCTACTACGAGAACGTGGCACTTGCTCTATTTGGTGTTTGGACTAAAATATCACGGTACTTATGTGATGTAGAGCTAGAATTTGTAGATTCAAAGTATTTTTGTGCTGTTGTACGGAAAAGGAGCTATATTCATAATCTGCCAATTGAGAAAAAAAATTCCTCTTATTATGCTTCCTCCACGCATCATACATGATGTTTTTCTATTGAAAAAGAAATGGTGGAATTCCTGGGATCCAAGAACAAAGTTTAACTGTTTACAAACATGTACAGGAAGTGCCAAATTGACAGAAATGATCCGTAAGGCTCTTGAAGCTTATGACGATGAGCCACATTCGAGTGTCCAGAAGTATGTTCTTGATGAGTGCCGAAAATGGAATCTGGTATGGGTTGGAAGGAATAAAGTTGTTCTATTTAAACCTGATGAGGTGGAAATGCTTTTAGGTTTCCCTAAAAACTATACACGAGGATGAGGATCTGCTAGAGACATGTTCCCCGGTGATATCAATGTCATGTCTCTTTTCTCTGGGATCAGTGATGCAAAGGTTACCTTCTACTGTCTTGGCATATCTTTGAAAATAGATGCGCAAGAACTGACTGGTAATCGGTTAGAGCAATTGATGAGTAGATTTGACATATTCGACCTTTTGTCGGTGGCATCCCGTGTAATAATCTTACTGGAAGAAATAAACATCATCTGTATGAACTAGATGATTTTTGTTGGTGCATTTTTTTGCAATGACTGGTACAATGATTGTCTCTTCTGTTGCTCCAAAATACTCACTGCTATATCCCACTCTTCTTGAACCCTGGAAAGGTTTGGTTGATAGTAGAACTGGTTATATCTACTTTTAGAATCATGTAACCAATGTTACCTAATATGAAAGGCCTACAAGTGTATAATCTATTTCAATGTCTTATTCTGTGCCATAAGTCCTTAATTTCAAGTTCAATAATCTTCTGAAGGACATAATATATAATCCTGACAAAGAAAATGATTGGCATGGAAGAGGCTGCAATGATATATCAAGACTTGAGCCAACATCTTGGTATAACCATAGTGCAAATAGTGGACTTGTTCATTCCTATAATACACCTTAATGGGACTTATAGATCTGTGATTGGAGGATTTGCTAAAGACATGGATTGATGACTGGGGAAAATAATTTGTCTGGTGAAGCCATCAACATGAGATAAGTGATAATATTTCTTGATAGATTACCAATAATGTCACAGGATAGTGTCATAAGTTCAATTCTCCATACTTTCTGACTTCTTGGATCACTTACTTTCAAGAAAGTGAAATTTTTCATTATTCTGGCCTCGTTCATTTTCTCTCTTCAATAGAGGTAGAATAAAAAACTTGCTTCAAGGACTTTTCTCATTTGAGACTTTCTTGTTTGAAAATGTTTTTCCTCCTTTCTTCATCGAAGAATGAATGAATTTTGTAAAATGTTGCCTATCACAGGTTCACAAT